TTACTATATATCCCTAGCCAACTTCAAACTTTCCATCTTCCTGCTTCTACCCCTGACTGACTGCTCAGATTACAGGTGTAGGCTGCCACACCTGACTCCAGGATATTTTTATTGTTGTTGTTTTGTTTTGTGGTCATTAAAACACATTATTTAGAAGCTGAAGGTGTAGCATGTTCAAGATCTCAGACTTGATCCTTGGTGCCAAATAAACCGCATTATTTAGAAATGCGGCCTTCTGAGAAGGCTAATATAAATGCCCCAAGTCCACTGACATGCACTTCTTCTCTTTTTAACTCTCAATAGATAGAACAGGAGAGGTGAAAACTCGGAGGAGAAGAAAAATGTGGGGTGACCCTGCCAGCCGACAAGAGGCCCTCTTCTCTGGGGACAGGCCTGCTAGAGAGAGAAGAAACCTCCACTCTTCAATTGAGCTGCCTGGACTCAGGGGAGCAGAGACTGGACAGCCCAGGCTTCAGAATCTAAATTCAGAAGCCTGCATCTCACTGTTGTTTACTTTGTCCCCAGAAATTCAAGTGTCTTCTGCTCCCAGGGAAGTTCCTTCCTGCTTGTTTGTTTAAATGTTCATTTTTAAAGCCTGACTTACCTTTTTTAAATTAATATTCTTGTTTATTTCTCCTTTTCCCTGCTCTGCCCCCTGACTTTACATGAAACAAGTTCATTCTGGTTTACTACCCTTTCTGGAGTTCCTTTTGGCTCCTCCCTGACTCCCACAAATTGAGACTGTATCAACCAAGTATAAAAGTAGCTGGCCTTTTTCTTGTGATTGGTCTTCATTAGTCTCTTAACTCCTCTAACCCTATGGAAGCTCTCTGCACGCAGTGTTCCACTGTAGAGGGGAGCTCAGAGTGGGTGAGCGGGAGCCCTTGTTTGGGATGTAGGTTTTATAAATCTGAGCCTCCTTCAGTACCTCTATACTGATGGGCTTCAGACCTCCATAGAGGTATAATCTCTGTTGTGGAGAAAGAACAAACTGGATGCTTTTGTGAAAAGGGAGGGTGGAGTGAGATCCTCTGCACGATTAGGGGAATGCATGGCGAGTCCTCAGGGCTGTCTTTGAGGTAAGTGGAATTAGTGAGCCCTACTTCTTTTCTTTACATCCCTTCGACTACGTCCCCTTCTCCGTTGCTGTGGACCAATGCATCTCTAGAGACAAATACTATCCAGCAGTCTGTCTGCCTTGTCTTTGCAGTTCTTCTCCATGCTTCCCTGCTATAATGTGTTTAGATGTTACTACTTACTTTCCCCAAATTCTGCTCCTCTACTTGCAAACAGAGGGTTTAAAATCCTGGACTTCAGTCCTAAGGAAGAAAGTTACCTTCTGGGCAAAGGCTCTCCCTCCTTTCATTCCTCTCTATGGCACTGAACCACATCCCCGTGCCTGTGTGGAAGTCTGTTACTGCAGTGCTGTGCCTGCCAGGGTTCCTACAGAACCTGAGGGAAAGGTGGTGCTGCCTCTCCCTAGTAATGTGTCTGTTTTTGTTCTTCCTCCTACAGCTGGCCTAACTACTCTTGAGTCAGGGTGGGGGTAACCCCCAAGGAGGAAATAACTAAGGGGTTCTTCCAGGGGTAGCTGGTGGTTGTGCCTTTTATAGGCTTCCCTTTGCCTTAAACCTGAAGATGTTTCCTCAAGCCTGTGGGCAGCATGCCCAGATTCCCGACTTAAGACACTGTGACAGTTGTCTGTTGGTCCACTGTGTTTACTGCAAAGATTTCGCCATGTGTGTGTTTGTCACTGTTTTCAAGGGTGCACATTTGTGATCAGCAGTGTGACTTGGAGATAATAAAATTTAGACTATAGTTTTGACTCTGTTGCAGTTATTATATGCATCTTGATTTGGAAGGAAGAAAGAGACTGATTTCACTACAGAATTAAGTCATAATTCGAGCTCAGCCCGGTAAAATGCGGGGTCAGAGGTGAGGAGCCCTGTGAGGCCCCAACTTTGAATGTGCTTGCCAATAGTTTCTCATTCTATCCCTCTTTTTTTTATTGGTTTGTTTGTTTTTTGTTTTTCAGACCAGGAGCTCATGTTGTCCAGGCTAGCCTCTTAACTCACCTTGTACTAAAGATAACCCTTCAGTTTCTGATCCTATCGTCTCCACTTCCCAGGTGCTAGGATTTCAGATGTTCACTGCCACACAAAATTTAACAGTATAT